CCCCCACCCCCCACCTCCGCAATCTCACCCCCGTGCCCCGCCCAGACAGCTTCGCCGACGAGCTCGTGCACCAGCAGCGGAATCCAGGCCGGAGAAGGGCGCCCAGCATTGCCCCCCATGCCCGGCGCCCCTAGCCCGATCCTCCCCAGTCCCCGCTTCCCCGATCCTATTATCCCTGCCGCGCTGCGTGCTCAGAACCCCGGGAGGGCTGGGTCCGAGGAAGCCTCTGCCCTTCCTTCCCCACCATCCAGGGCCATGCTCAAACCCTGTCACACCCCTTTCAAAATAATAGCGATAGCAATAATAATCATAATAAATAACCCGTTTGTTAATCCCTGCAGGACCTCCCTCCCTTTCTGTTCCCATCCCATCCTCGCTGGCACTACAGGGTGGGGGGTGGAGGTGGTGGAATACGACTTGGGCACATTCTGATGGCAGACTTGGGGATGCTTAGGGACATGCCGCCAGAGACAGACACTCCGCTCAGACAAAAGCACCCCCCCCCACACACACACACTGCATATGGTACACACACTAATACACGTAGTCCCACAAGGAACAGACCCCGCCCAGACACACAGCCGGACATGCAGACGGAGGACAGACATGCACACACCAGCAGTGCAGACCCGCCCAGGGGTAGTCTAACACACAGGCGCCCCCAGCCCAGCCGCCTCTCCATGCTGGAACCGGAGGAGTCTGCGGCGGTCATCAGGCCCTGGGTTTCAGGACTGGGAGTGTCGGCAGATGCGAGCCCGGACCGGGACTCTAAGATGGAAAACTTCTCTGACAGCCCTGAGGCTGCTTCCACGTACGATGGGGTTGGGGGGAGGGTTGGCACCAGCTTCCACGCTTGCACGGAAGCGACTCCAGCCCGAAAGGCTTCACGACTCACACCGAAAGGCCGGGACCCAGCAGACACACCGACACCTGTTTCCCCGCTCCTCTTAGGATAAAGCCCAGCTCGCTAAGGAACACTCGTATCACACATGCGCGTTTCCAGAGGTCGGGCTCTGAAAGATGGGACCCGTTTTCCTTCCTCTGCGGGAAACAGCTCTGCTCGTACTTTCTCCAAGCCTGGACGGGGTGGGATACTGGTCAGAAGAGAAGCCCAGCCCAGACTCCTGTGAGCCAGGCTGGTGCGGGGCGTGTCCCCAAAGGGCGTGGCCTGGCGTACCCAGCCGGAGCGGGTCCTCAGGCGCCACTGGACGGCACCCCGGGGCGCTGCGCTGGGCCCGGAAAGGAGGGACAGTAGCCGGCTGAGGGGAGCGTGTGTTCCAGGGTGTCCATAGATGACAGCTCTCGGGTAGCAATAGAGCCACAGGCTCCTTGCCTGCCCGCGGAGCTCAAGTCTGGATTGGGGCTTGGAAAGCCAGCTCACCCTCCCCTCCGCTTAGGGCCTGTGCCCGGCCGCCCACCCCCACCAGTAAAGAGACGGCCTCCTCGGACAGACATGGTTTATTGATTCGGGACGGAGGCACCGCGGTGCAGCGGGCTGTTTGGCACTGGGAGGAACGGAATGAAGGACAGACAGACGCACTGCTCTACACAGGGGAGCCCCAAGGTGGCGGCCCGCGCGCCTCTTCATCTCCGCAAGGAGCGCAATTGCTTCGCGTGCCTCGATGCTCCAAGCCCCACTGGACAAGGGAGACAGGGTCACGGAATGGGTCAGGGAAAGGGGATTCGGGCAGGAGAAGTCAAGACTGGGGAGGGGCTGGCGTACTCGCTGGAGGAGGCGGGCCCTGAGCCTGGGCTGGCCAGTGTGCTGGCAGAGCAGCCACTTTGACCCAAGGGGGGTGGGTGGTCTGGAGGAGGAGCGGGTCTGCTAGCTGCGGGTGTAGTAGTAGTTGTTGTAGTCGTCCTCACACTCCTCAAGAGGGCCAGGCGGGCTGCGAGGCGCGCCGTCCAGGCTGGGCATGGGACGCTCATGCAGGCGCACCGCATCGTACAGACCCTGGGGAGGCTCGTCAAGCAGCACGTCGCGCTCGGAGCGGGAGCGCGTCAGGAGGCCCACGTTGCGCAGCAGCAGCAGAACTGGCGCGTAGAGCAGGTTGGCCAGGCCCATGCCAAGGCTGAGCTGCTCAAAACCGAGCGAGTGCACGATGTGGCCCGCCACTATGGGCCCGAGCGCGTAGGCCACGGAATAGGAGATGTCCGCGATGGCGTAGACGCTGCCGTAGACTGAGACGTGGCGCACGTCCACAAGGAAGGCGAGCGTGGGCAGCAGCGCGGTGTCTACCAGAGCTATGCCAAAGCAGAGGCCGCAGAGCGAGACCACTAGCGGCGCAAAGGAACGGCAGGCTGGCACAATGCACGAGCTGGCGCCGATCACTGCCAGCCCGAGAGCGCCGTACAGCCACTGCAGGTGTGGATAGCGCGCCGCCAGGCGCACAGTGAGGTAGACGCCTAGCACGTGTGGCACGAAGGCCGGCAGCCAGGCCATGCCCATCTCCCACTCGGATGCTGCCATCGTGTGCTTCATCCACGTGGCGATAGTGGGCTCGAGGAAGGCGAGGGGAATGTTGCAGGTGGTGAGCGCGCCGGCCACCACGGCGATGTAAGGGTCCAGCATGAGACGGTGGATGGGCGTGCCCACCGGCAGGTTGGCCCGCGCCCGTGCAGCGGCCGAGAAGGGCTTGGCTACGGCCAGCAGCAACAGCGCGTCGAGTAGCGACACGGTGGCAAGCACCAGGAAGGGCACGCGTTTGCCGGCGAACTCATAGAGGATGCCCCCGAAGGGGGGCGCCACTAGGCTTCCAAAGCTGATGAAGGCCAGCGCCACTCCCAGCGCGCGACTGCGTTCCGGCTCCTCGGGATACTTGTCGGCGATCATGGCAATGCCGGACGTGTCGGCGAAGGCTGAGCCCAGGCCCTGCAGGCTGCGCGCGGCGAATAGCGTGGCGTAGTCCTCCGCGAAGGCGAACATGACCGTGGAGGCGAACATAACGCCCAGGCCGATGAGCAGCGGCACATCGTAGCTCATGCGGTCGATGAAGGGCCCGCTCAAGGGGTTCACCAGCAGCTGCAGGATGGCCTTGGAGGCAAACAGCACCCCGATCTTCACGTCTTCGCTCTCCGTGGGGTAGCGGGGCCGCAGAGCTGAACCGGCAGGTCGCGCAGCCGTCGGGGTCGCCGAGGTGTTGGCTGTGTAGGCGCTGGCATTAGCCGGAGTGGGTGGCTGCAGGGTGGGCTCCCATCCCTCAGGGGTCAGGGTGGTGCTCTCGCTGCCCCCGCGCATGTGGGCGATGTAGTCGGGTACGATGGGCACGATGACCATATACAGCATGTTGTCCAGTAACAGCGCCACGCACACGATGACCAGCACCAGGCGCCGCTGCCTCCGGGGCTCCAGCAGCGCTGCGCCCACCGCCTCCGACAGCTTGGTGGCCGCCGCCCGGGCCTGGCCCGCTGGTGCCGCGGGTTCCATGCCCCCACCCCGCCGCTCTTCTGAAGACGCCTCCACCAGGGTCCGGCGCGGGCGTCCCGCAGTGCAGAGACAAGGGCGCGGGACTTCGGGGGCGCGGTCCCCTCAGCGCAGCGCCCCCTGTGCCTCAGGTGGCCGCGGGGCTCATGGCCCCGCGCCCGGGGAAAGGCAAGAGCTCCGNCCCCGCGGTCCCCGCGGGAGAGGGGGGAGCCAGGGGCTCGAGATCTCCGCCTCAGCCTGGATCTCAGCGCACAGCGGGCAGAGAGCCCCCGAGGTGAGCCGCGGCTGCGTCCATCTGTTCTTGCAGCTGGAATGTGGAGCTGCTACCCGAGGGGCGCCGGGCACGGACCCCCAGCCCTTTCTCCGGCCCCTCCCCCTGGCCCCTTCCACCCCCAGGAAGGGAGGGGGAGGCTCAGAGACTGCTGGGCCTGCTTGCGACCGACCGGCCCTCCGGCAGAATATCGCGGCAGCGAATTCCCCACTATGGGCATGTGGGGATTAAGGGGAGAAGTTGTCTCGCCCCCAGCCAGGGCCCCGAATATCAGCCCAGCCCCTCCACCCTCCCCTACCTGGACTCTCCCTTTCCGCTTTAACTGTCCGGGTCCCCCAGCTCCGCCTCTTCTCCCTCCCTCCTCCTCACCCCCTCCCCACTCGAACTCCTCCCAGGCGCTCTTAGCACCAGACCAAGCCCTCCCTTAGCTCCTGAAGCCCTGCCCCCTGTCCCACCCCCCACCACCCATCTCCAGAGCCGCCTCCAAGCCCTAGGTGGGCTCAGGAGTGATGTGGCCGGAGTCCTCTCTCGGAGCTGTAACGAACCCCGCGTGGGCGCCTCGCCCACTCCCCGGGCAGGGCGCAGCAGCTCTGTTGTCATCAGAGACTCAAGGGAGGCTCACCTTCCCTGAAAGCCGCACCTGCTGAGGCACCTTGTTGTCAGCTGACAGGCTGGGATGCCCGGGCTATGCTGGGTGGACACGGTACGGCACATTGCGCCCCTGTTTCAGTCTGCCGGCTGGCAGGAGAGAGGCTGGGGGGACTCGTGTGGTTGACATTATAGTTTGTGTCTCTCTTCCAGAGTCAGAGAGGAACCTTCCCCTCCTTCTGGCTTCAAAAGCAAACTAGTGTTAGATCCAGCTTCTCCCACCGTGCCCCCCACCCCGCAGGAGGCACTCTGAGGGAGTGCAAGGAAGGTGGGCCTTAGAGGCAGACAGCTAGGATGGCTCCCAGTGTCGCCACTTACTAACTAGGGTGCCTGGGGGATTACTTTACCTCTCTGTCCCTCAGTTACTTTATCTGTAAAGTGGAAAAGTACCTACTGCTTAGGGTGCCTGACACAGCAAGAGCAATGTAATACTTGCTGTTGTTATTGTCATCTGTAAAATGTGCTGCTTTATCCTCGTTTCACATGTGTGGGTCTTGTTAAGAGAAGATAAAAGACGGGGGCACCCTGGACCTGGCTGGTCTCTGTGGTTAGGTGCGCATTGTGGCTCAGGCTCTGTCCGGGCTGGTGGAAAGGCATTGGAAAGTTGGCGTCTGTCCCTGAGCAGCCGTGGGATGAGGTGATGGGGACCAGGGCGTCAGGGTGAGCAGTGGCAGCCTCGCAGTCTGTTGCTCAATCTCTCCCCCAGCCTCGCACCCCAGAAAAGGAGGAGAGACTCACCGACTAAGGAGCTGCCAGCACCTGCTCTGCAGTGGCCAAACTGCTCTCTCTGAGGGAGGGAAATAGCCGCAATATGGGGACAGGCCTGGCTCTTGACCTTGGTCAAGTCACAGCCCCTCTGGGCCCCAGCCTTGGCCTCTGTCTAGTATGGGTTTAGGCAAGAGCCCACTCACTGCAACCCTCAGGCAGAAATGCGTGCCTCGGAAGGGCCCTTTTGTGGGTGGCAGCCTTCCTTTGATGGCCTTTACTCAGTACACACGCACTCTCCAGCTCTTCTCAGAATCCCTTCAAGCTGTCTTCATACACTTACATCACCTGCCTGGCTGTCCAGTCATTTGAGTTTGAGACCACAGGGCTGTTCTGAGGCTTTCAAAGGGTCAGTCTTCCAGCCTGAAGAGCATAAATTATTATTTACACATATGTTTATTGTTTACCCTGTCTAATTAAAAAAAGGAGAGGGAAGGATTTGAGGTAGAAGTTTTCTGTCTCATGGCTAAAGAACAGCAGAGTCTTAGAGAAGAGAAAGTTTCCCAGGGCCTTCAAGGTACAGACCCCTTCTCCCAGCCCTCTGGCCCATGTAATTCATGGCTGTTCCTGAGCACGAAGCCAAGTTATCTCTGTGCTCATGCCCAACTGTCCAGTCCTCCATTCCTGTATGGCAGGAAGCAGGCTCACTTATTAAGCACTTGCTTTGTGCCTGGGGTATGGTGTATGCAGGTTTACTTCATCCTCCCTCAGTCCTAGTGCAGCGTAGGTGCTATTCCCCTGGTCTTATGGATGAGGAAGCCAGGCACGGAGAAGCTGGGTCACTTGCCAGAGATCCCAGCAGCAGAGCATGGATTTAAACCCAGGCTGTGAGACCTGACTCATTACCTCTGTGTTCCCTGTGCCTCATTGTGCAAGGTGGCCACACCCTGGTGGTGTAGGGGAGAGGGGCAGACGAAGACCTAGGGGAGGAGAAAGGTCCAGGGCTGGCTCCCTACGGAGGCCCAGGGACACCAAACTTCCTTACACCCCAACATCCATATCAGAACGCAAACTCCCATCCATCATCAGCCCCAAGGACTGGTGTGCAGGGGTTGCCGGGAGGAGAGGCCCCCCCTCAGCAAAAGGCCTGAGCGGTGGAAGGGCATGGGGAAACCTCCATTCCTGCCCTGGCCTGCGGGGAGCTGTCCAGGGTGCTGACCCTGGTCCTGCCTCGGGCCAACCGGCCTCCTAGGAGGGCCCTCCGTCTTCCTGCACCTGGAGCTTCCTCTTCACCTGAACTCCTGGTAGATTCTTTTCCGGAGACTCTTCTATCTAAGCATAACTCACAGGCAGAAGAGAATTTCCCAGCCAATCCTGCAGGAGAAAATGAAGCAATTTCTCCTCTCCTTTTCCAACTAGGTATAGCAACTGTTGCTACAGGGTACTCAAGGTAAGCTGAGTGGGTAAAGAAGGAATTTATTTATTAGACACATAGAAGCACTGTTCTAAGCATTTTACAAATATTCACTCATTTAAGCCCCTCACCTATCTTCATATTACTCTTTTATAGGCAAGAAAACTGAGGTAAAGTAGTTTATCCACAAGTGGTGAAGACAGGGCTCAGACACAGTGACCTAGCTCCAGCGTCCAGCTCTCAGCCAACATGTTGTCCTGCTGTGTGATGGCTGAAAACTATGACATGACTTACTTGGAAGTATCTAACTCAATGCTTGATTATTATTGCTTGGTGTGGGGAGAGACTGCTTGGTGATTTCTGGCTGACAACGTTTCTTCTCATTTTATCCACTGGATCCAACCATAGCCTCAGTCTGATAGAACAAAGTCTGTTCCATGCTGGATCAGTGCCGCAGGGGAGGTTGTTGGAGGCTGAGGAGTCCTGGTGTGTGGGAGTTTAGGGGTGGTGGTGGGGGTGGGAGGATAGCCATCCCTCACCAGCGCCTGGAGAGGCCAGGTTTGTGTGTGTGGCAGGGGTCTTGGGTGGGTCGAGGGGGAGTGGGTGCTGCTGTGGAGGGAGACAGCAGCCCAGCCCAGCCTCATTCTGAGAAGGTCACAGGGCCATGTCAATTCCAAGGCTTTGCCATTTGTTGCTTCAGCGATGCATCTGGTTCCAGAGATGGGAAGCAACCGGTGTTTCTGTGGAGAAGCAGGTTGGTGTTGGTGGTGGCAGTGTGTGGGCGGGGCACCTACTCCTGATTGATGATTTCTTTGTCTCCCTGGAAGCACTTAAGTGCAGGCTTAGTGCCAATGGAGCTCAAGGGCTCTTTGGATTCCAGCACCAGGGTGCAGTCTGCTCAGGCCTTGGTACATCCACCCCTGTGCACTGCCTTGGAGGGCTGCAGGGCCTCAGCATCACTTAATTAATTTAGGCTTCCCCAGCCACATATTCTCAGATTCAAAGGAACAGAGTGGCCCGTGTTAGCCTTTTCCGGAAACCTGTGAGTCTGGTGGCTGGGAGCCAGAGGATTACGTGTCTGCCTGGCTGCCCTTGGCCAGCCTGTCCTCATGGCATAGCATAGCTGAGCTCCAGTGGGGAAGGAAAGGGACTGCAGCTCCTGCTCCGGGGAGCCAGAGGATTACGTGTCTGCCTGGCTGCCCTTGGCCAGCCTGTCCTCATGGCATAGCGTAGCTGAGCTCCAGTGGGGAAGGAAAGGGACTGCAGCTCCTGCTCCATGGGTGGGCCTCAGAGCTCCTCTCTGTAGCTCCAGAGAGGGGACCTCACCCACTCGCTTTCTTTGTGACTTCCTGTGAGTGAATTGTTGATTGGAAGCGCAGCCTTGAAAGCGCTGTGATTTCTCCTTCCATTCACTTTCCGTTTCCATCTAATGGGGTCTCAGGTTCAGCCCCTCCTCCGTTGAGATCACCCAGTCTTCCTCCAGCCCAGACCCTATGTCTTCCCCTACACTGGGTCAGTCCATCCCCTCCCAACTTGTCCCCTCCCTCCTGACCTGGCCAGCCCACCCCCTGCATTGATGCCAGATTTCTTTTCTCTGTAAAGTTTCAGGCAAGCTCCCAGCTGCTCACAGACCTGGCAGGAACCCCTGCTGCTTGAGACTGGGGTCCAGCTTCTTCTCCCAGCATGGTGGCCTCCCACAATGCCTCCTGCATTTCCTTTCCTCCCCTTCCTCCCTAACAGCCCCCAGGAGCTCCTACCTCCACACTGTTGAGCCAATGTTCTCTCTGCTCTTGCCCAGATTTGCCTCTCCTTGGTTGCCGTAAACTCTTCCCTGATTTTGGACATATTGTGAACAGCCCCATCCCCATATCCCATCAAATTTCCCACCCCTCTTCTGGAATTCCCCCACACCAGCTTGAGAGCTCCATGAAGGCCAGGGCTGTATTTTGCCTGCTAAGCATTCTGCTCAGCACTGGTGGCAGCGCTTTGCATGGGAACTGATGTGTCAGTGGCTTTTAAATCCATCTCTACATTTATTAAAATGAAAATTAATCACATAAGTAAGACATAAAAGCCTTCTTCTCCTGGAAATGAGAATGTTTGGTTCTCTCTGCCCCCTCTCAGATGCTACCCACCTGA